GCGAGGTTCGGGGAGAGAGTGAGGAAAGAATACGGAGAGAGTAGAGCGAGCGAAGATAGAGGAGGGGGAAGAGAGAGAGAGAAGGGAGAATATGGAGGGGAGGGAGAGGAGGCAGGAGCTATAATTCACTGTCCTCGCGAGGCGGGGCGCCTCTCACTCAGACAAATGACTGCGCCACGTCTCGGCAGCTTCACCGCCACCCGCCAGAGGGACTCCAACTGGTGACGGGGCAGCTCCGAGGCCGCCGCCGCCGCCGCCGCCTCCTCCTCGGAGTCGTCCCTCCGCGTCGCTCATCTCCCTCCGAGCAATTCGTGCGCGTTGTGCGCGCGTGTTTATTAATGCACAGAGAGTGGCATCTCCACACCAACTTACTCACCCCGTCTCCCCCCTCCCACCCCCCGTCTCCCTCCCTCCCCCCGTCTCCTACCCCCGTCTCCCCCCTCCCACCCCCCGTCTCCTACCCCCCCGTCTCCTACCCCCGTCTCCCTCCTCCACCCCCCGTCTCCTACCCCCGTCTCCCTCCCACCCCGTCTCCCTCCCTCCCCCCCACTCCCGCTGCTGACACCGCGTGTGAGCCCCACGGCCAAACAACAGCGCGACGTGCAGGAGCCACTTACTCACCCCCGGGTGAGTTGGGTGTTGGGTGAGTTGGTTGTTGGGTGAGTTGGGTGTTGGGTGAGTTGGGTGTGAGAGCGGGGAGCGGTGGTGCAGCGATTGGCGCGCCGCACCGACGAACCCGGCGCCCCGAGTTCGATTCCCGCTCACGGCCAACATCAATGACGATTATCTTGCACCGGTCATGGGCCTCCCCAAGGTCGACACGGACTCAAATGAGTACCTGGTGCGGTGTGTTATCATCGACGACGAGGGGGACAAAGGCGGCCGGGTGTGGTGCTGGCTACCCACTCCCGTCGTGTGCGATTCCGACCTTCATAGGTGCTCGCGAACAGCACTCGTCCCAACAGCCTGTGTAAGCTACCCGGGGGATCTTTGTCTTGTCCTTGTACATGCAGCAAGAGTGTTACGCGCACGTGTGTGTGTGTGAATACACGTGTGTGTGTGTGAATACACGTGTGTGTGTGTGAATACACGTGTGTGTGTGTGAATACACGTGTGTGTGTGTGAAAATACACGTGTGTGTGTGTGTGTGAATACACGTGTGTGTGTATATACACGTGTGTGTATATACACGTGTGTGTTATGCTATGCGTACGCATTGCACACATGAGCGCACACCACCAGCACACACACGGAGAGGGGTGTGTGCGTGTGCGCAATGTTGGTTGCGGGAGATGGTGTTCTGTGCTCTGCCCCCTCCATACCCGCTCAGTACCACCCCCACCCCGCACCCCCATCTCCCCCCCCCACCTTCCCTCCTACCCCGCTACCTCCCCCCATCCCAGCCTCATCTCTGCTCCCTCACACTCCTCACTCGCCCTCTCTTCCCCCTCCCTCCTTCACATTCCATCCCTGACTCACGTCACAGCGGAGCAGTAACGGAGGAGAGGGTTAATTGGGTAATGGACACCGCGCGCACGCACGCGCACCGCGCGCGCACGCACGGGGGAGCGCGTGCACCGCTCTCGCCCGCACACCGGGTTCGATTGCCAATGTGGCGGTCGCGAAGTGGGTAATCAATGCTGGGCGCTCTTGAATGATCAACAACGCCATCGTCGCTATCATCTTCATCACCATCGTGATCATTCATCACCATCGTGATCATTCATCATCACCGTGATCATTCGCCGAATATTTGGCGGGTCACTGGTAGACGAACTCGATTAATCGGCACGTGACTAAGCGGCTGTGGTCATTGCAAGATGTATCCTGGCTGTGGTGTTCAAGGGAGAAATGAAGCCCCGCTTTGATGAATCGTCAACAGCATCTCGGTCCTAATTATCAACACCGTTACGGCAGTGGTCTAATTGGGCAGCCTCAAATCATCCAGATCGTCGTCGTCGCCACCGTCATCGTAACTCGTGCTAATTATGACGCCATCCGCGATCCATTTATATTGCGGGTCATATTATCCCAAATCGAATATTTGACATTTTCATAAATTGTCATTCTGATCAGTGCGTGTTCACTAAAAAAAAAAAACATATTCAATAGGGAATTGGCCACAGCAGGACCCTCTTGAATGGGAGTCTGGAGACTCGGGAGGCAAGTGGCCACTCATTATCGTTAATTACGCTGCGCCAGATACGGGGTTTTCTCCGCCTCGCCAGCGTTTCCCAGATCTCCCTTGCAGATGAGACAACGAATCTGTGACGCACGTCCGAACACACGGACGTACAGAGGGATGAGCGCAATCCCATCCCACGCAAAAAACATAACGAGTCACACGTACACAGAGACACCACCACGCAGCCTTCCCGCGTTCACCCCGCCCACCATATCCCCGCCAGCCTCTCATCCATCTCGACTCTACCACTCACTCTCTCGGTCGAGGCAAGAGGGGTTTCATATTGCTCTCCCCCCCCCCCACAGCCTCCCCCATCCTACCCCTCCTCCTCCTTCTCCAGCAGCAGCAATAGCTGCTGCATCATTCCACCCCCAGGGTCTCCAGCGTGGACCCGGCCAAGGCAGCGGTGATTATTTTTCCCGACATTTCCAGATAAACCAGAAATGAGGCCATCAAACACGAGGACAGGAGGCTGAGCGGGCGATGCGCGGGGTTGATGCAACTCGCTCGCTCGCACCGGCGCATCGCACGCCAACCCCACCAACCCAACTCATGTCCACCAACCCCACTCATCCCGTCACTATCCACCAATGCCATCCAACGCGGATGAGCGACACGTTCCGGCCCTGCCTACCTAGCACGCCGACCGTCACACCAGCACACACCTGCCTTGTCACCCACCGACGTGGCACGCAACGACCCTGTATACTCTCTACCATCACACCCATTCACCCACCCATGAAACGTTCACCCATCCATGAAACGTTCACCCACCCATCAACGCACCAAATACACAGAGCCACCAACACCCACCCCATCTATCACCAACTCACCAACACAACACCCTAACCACACAACCACACAGACACAACCTACCCACCCACACAACGACCCACACACACCCATCTACCAATTCACCCACTCAACCACACCCATCCACCCACCCACCTAATCACTAACCCATCTACTTACCTGCCCACGCACCCACCCGCCCACCCGCTCATCCACTCGCCCACGCACCCACCCGCCCACGCACCCACCCGCCCACGCACCCACCCAGGCTGCCGACCCCGCACATCTGTCACACTAACGGTGGCGCGATTCTCCCTCGACATCCACTCCTCTATCTCGCTCTCCACTCACTCTCCCTCGCACTCTGCTGCCCGAGCAGGCAAATTACTCTCTCTGCTCCCCGTCTCCATCTCTCTCTGTATCTCTCCGCGCTTGCTCCCTTGTGTCTGTGTCTCTGCGTGTATCTCCCTGCATCTCTCTCCCGTGTCTCCCCATCACTCTGCGCGTGAGTCCGTTACGCTCTCTTTAAACCGTCACTTTCTCTCGGTGTCTCCATCACTCTGTCGCTCCCTGCCTCTGTCCATGTATTTTAAACGTGTTTTTCGCGCGTGTCTCTCTCCGCCTACGTGTCTGACGCTTGCATGCTTCACACATGCGCGCGCGCGTGTGTGTGTGTGTGTACGTGAGGGGGCGCGATGTGGCCCAGCGGCAGCGCGTTCACCGCGTGCTCCAGAGGAGGTGTCTGGTTCAAATCCGGCCGGCCACCCTGGTTATTACGACTACTGCGGGTGCAGTAACTATGAAAACAATACAAGGCGTCACAGTGGACTTTAAATATCCCGTGACGTCACTCGCGCCAAATAAACAAAATGACACTGAAAATCACTAAACTATTTGTATTTTACCAGGTAAGGGCCCACTGAGCTATGTATAACTCTTTCTCAGAAGCGACCTGGCTATCACAAATGATAGCTCAACGGCGTTTCTAAATATGGGAGGGAAAAACTGGAGGACCCGGAGAAAAATCCATGCGGCCACGGGGAGAGAGAGAGAGAGAGACATGTAGACTCAAAATATACACGTTTCAGTGGTCAGGATCGAACCCATGACCTCCTGTATACCAGGTGAAGTAGTTAACATCTCACAACCGTGGCGCCCAATTTGGATTACGCGCAGCGAACATAGCAGCGCCTTCCTTCGTGATAGCGCTGAGATATGAAAACAGCGCAAATACCAAAAGTACATTATTTATTTTGTGTACACCTGCGGGTGTACGCTGGACACCTGTGCATCTGTGTAAGTGCGTCTCTCTGTGTGTGCATGTCTGCATGCATGTGTTTGTGTCGGGCTAGAGAGGAGATGGGCTGATGTGGTACAGGAGGATGTAAAATTGATTCGACTTGCCAACGACTGCTGCCAGCAGTGTCAAGATCGGCCTCTGTGGAGGAGGCTCGTGAAGGACGCTGCTACTGGGCAGTTGGAGGAAGTCGCCCTCCAACAACAGCGGAGGGCATGGGAGTGATGCTCACAAGAACGAGCGGAGCACCGGGTGGATAAAACGCCGCAAGATGGCACAGTGTTGAGCACAGTAGGTGTCCATCTGCCAGTCATCTCAGTCAGTCAACCCATGGCACCTGGGTCTGTGCCCGTGATCCCACAAGCGACCCTTCGACACTTCACGTGGCCTCAAAGTGGACCTAGCCTGGCACAAGTGCCGTGGTGACATCACTGTCACTTAGTGGCGAATCACGGTTGTAGTCTTCTATGTGCGTGTGTACATCTGCGTGTGCGTGTCTGCGTGTGTGTCTAGCAGCGATGTGTAAAACATCGCCACATGGGAGACAAAGGCGGCCGGGCGTGGTGTTGGCCACGCACCCCTCATGTGCAGAGGTGGCCCTTCACGGATTCTGCTCGCTAACAGCATTTTCCCTAACAGTCTGTTAAGGCGATACGGGGGGCGGGGGGGAGGGTGGGAGATTTTTGTCTGCGTGTCTGTACGCGTGTGTGTGCCCTCGCGTCTCACCTGCGGATTTGGGGGTGAACTTGTCGCGGTGAGCGGCACACACGGCAAGGAGCCGGTAGCCAAGGTCCAGGTCAAAGCCCTGCTGAGCGGCCACACGGCTCACAACCTACGCAGCAACAACAGCCAACGACAGCCATCAACAACGGTGCAGACGACGCCACCACTGCAACCGCAGTCAACAACGACCACGGCCTACAACACGTTAGCCGGTTACACCAAACAACATCACAGCCACCGCCGGCAACGTTGACAGAACTTCCGTTTACGCCACAACCATTGATATCACCACCAGCCAACAATATTTACACAACCACCAACAATGGCACCACTTCCACCAAACCACCACCACCAATTTTAATAAAAGTCCAAGTGATATCTTGGTCCAATGAGCATTGAGGCACTCATGTTGTTATCTTGTTTAGAGCAATGGCAGTGCTGGGAACTCCATATTCCTATGGCAGTGCGGGGGGTGGGGGTGTAGATTATCCATAAGGTCACTGCTATTGACCTCCCCACAGGCTGGTACTTATTTTATTGACACCACAGCAATGATGAGCTGGGGTCAACCAGGAACTCAATTTACAACGTCCCCATCGCCAGCCGCCGGCTCTACAGCTTGGCCACAGAGCCATCAATTAAACAACCACCAACACCACCAATTACACAATGACCACCACCAAAACCACCAATTAAACAATGACCACCAACAACAGCACCACAATCATCACCGCCGAATACACCATGAGCAGCAATTACACCACCAACAATAATTACACTGTCAATTATAGCACCAACACCACCGCCGCCACCAACATCCAAAAAAACTATAAGTCAGCACCACCACAGATTAAGCCACAAACAGTAACACGATCGCTTACTCGCAATAACGATCACACACAGCCAATGTCACCATCACTCACAACACCGATCTCCACGACTACCAACCCCACCACCAATTCAGACCACACCATCACAAAATGTTCTCAAATGAGAGCTGAGTTGACCTAATGGAGTCCCAGAGCAGGTAGATATATGAACCACGCGCACGAAAAATGCCAGAAATACATACACACATTCAGCCATACACACAGCACCACGCCCACATACATATGTACAAAGATCCCCCTTATGATGGTATTTACACACCACAACAGGTACTCATTTGAGGCACAGTCGACCCAGGGGAGACCTAAGACCGGTCACAGGTAATCGTCACTGATATTGGCCACGAGTGGGAATTGAACTGAGCGCGCTAACTGTTGCGCCACTGCTCCTCACAACAAAGGGTGCCCCGTGGTTATAGCTTCACCGAACTTTTTGGGGCAATTTGCTCGCGAGACTCATTCTCACACAAAGACAAAGATCCCCCGTGTAGCCTTAACAGACTGTTGGGACAAGTGCCATTAGTGAGAACCTATGAAGGCCGGCACGGCACACAAAGGGGTGGGTGGTCAGCACAACGCCTGGCCGCATTTGTCTCCCCAGTGGCGATGATCGCACAAGGTACTTATTTGAGGCTGAGTCGACCTAGGAGAGGCCCAACACCGGCTCAGATCATCTTCACTGCTGTTGGCCGCGAACGGGAATCGAACCCGGGTCGCCAGGTTCGTAGCGCAGTGTGCTAACCGCGACAATACCACTCCCCCTTACATACATACACATCATCTCTCATCCACACACATACACACAGGCACCCACACATCTACATAAGAAATACACACACATGCATCCCAACACAAATACAAACACAGCCACACACACCCATTAACATAGTCACCCAGACACATACATACAAACACACAAATATAAACACAAACACACGCATGCACACACACTCCCATACACAATACAAAGCCTTAACAGACTTTTGGGGCAAGTGCTGTTAATGAGCACCTATGAAGGCCGGCACGGCACACGAGGTGGCCAGCACCACGCCTACACATACAGGCACACACAGACCCACACAGACACATGCAGACACAGATATAAACACAAACACACACAAAGACCCACACACAAATAAAAACACACATACACGCACGTACACACACACACACGTGTGTGGCTCCTCTGGGAGGCCACCGTCTCCCTGCTCCTAATCACATCCAGAGTTGAGCCAGCAGCAGCACCACCGCTGCACTCAGAATTTAAAACACGTGTCCATGTTTGAGGTTCACATCGCAGCCCCTTACCCCCTCCTTCCCCCGGCAGGTCGAGTTACGCCACCACCAGCGCCACCACCAGCGCCACCACCAGCGCCACCATAGCCAGCATCACCAGCATCGCCACCACAACTATCATCACCAGTACTACCACAAGCATGACTTCCACCACCACCATCGCCAGTACCACCACGACCATCGCTACCACCACCAGCGCCACCGCTAACACTACCACCAGCGCAACCACCACCACCGCAACCAAAACCAGTACCACCACCACAACTAGCAATGACAAAGACAAATATCCTCCATCTAGCCTTAGAATTTTGGGGAAAGTGCTGCTAGCGAGAACTGATGAACGCCGGCCTGCGACACGAGGGGGCATGTGGTCAGGCACCACGCCCGGCCACCTTTGTCTCCCCCAGTTCTGATGTTTACACACTACACTAGGTACTCATTTAAGACCGAGTCGACCTAAGGGAGGCCCAGGACCGGCTCGGATATTCGTCACCGACGTTGGCGATAAGTGGGAATCGAACTCAGATCACCGAGTTCGTGGAGCAATGCTATAGCCACTGCACCACCACTCCCCACACTCATACACAGATGCATACACATCCACACGTGCAATGTGTGAATTTGGCTGTGTTCAAGTCTGTCTGTGCAAGTAAGTGGTTGTGGGTCATTTGTTGTGTGTGCGTGCAAGTCTGTGCATGTGGGTGTATGTGTGCGTCTGTGGAAAAGATGGCTGCACGTGTAAGTGTCTGCACGTGTAAGTGTCTGCACGTGTAAGTGTCTGCACGTGTAAGTGTCTGCACGCGCACGTGTCTGCGAGTGCAGATATGCGTGCTTGCGAGTGCGCGAGTATGCGTGCCTCTGTGAGCGAGTGTGTGCAAACAGTAGTGTGCATGCGTGCATCTGTGTGCATGCGTGTGCCTGTGCGAGTGGGACTGTGCTTGCGAGTGCAAGCTGGCGTGTGTGTGTGCGTGCCCTGTGCAAAGTGTGTGCATCTGTGACTGTGCCTGCATGAGCTGGTGTGTGCGTACCAGCGCTTGCATGCCGATGCGAGCGGTGTGTCTGTGTGCGTACCCGTGAGAGCGGTGCGAGCGTGAGAGTGCAAGCGGTGTGTCCGCGTGCGTGCCCGTACGAGCTGTGAGTGTGTGCGCGCACCGTGAGGCAGGCGATGAGGCTCTGTTCGAAGGGGCGCTGGAAGGCGCGGGGATCCCCACACCAGTCAAGCAGCTCCCGCGCGGCCGTCTGGAAACTCCCGGGACTCTGCAGGTGCTGCTCACGGGCAAAGACAAAGACAAGGGGGGCCCCCCGTGTAGCCGTTAACAGACTGTTGGAGCGAGTGCCGTTTAACGAGCACCTACGATGGGGCGGGTGGCCGGCATCTTGCCCGGGCCGCCTTTGTCTCTCCAGTGCCCATGTTCTTGCATCAACCCAGGGACGGCCTAGGACCGGGTCAGTTATTCTGTCATCGATGTTGGGTGCGTAGGGGCATTGCGCTAACCACGGCTACACTCTGGCTCACGGACACATGCGCACACACGGACACGAGACACGCAGGCACGAGACACAAAGACACAGACACACAGAGACCTATCTCAACACTGCTCTAACACACAAACACACAGTGCTCTTCACTCACTCGCACTCACTCAAACAACTCCTAAACCCCTCTCTTCCTCCCTTCGCTGCTCTGCAGAGAAGGCAGCAAGAGAGGGGTTTAGGAGCCTACCCCCTCGCAGTCAAGTCCAAGTGTCAATGGGGGTACTTCTCGTCGACTATCGCTGGTCCCAATCCAGATGTGTAAAATTCCACATTCCTCTCAATCGCCGCTGTCAAACACCTCGGCGCTCGTTCTCCCGCTCGCCTCCTGTGGTTGCAAATCGTCGTCGTCGTCGTTTTATCTCTCAAGGCCACGTGAAGTCGTCGTCTTGCCTCCAGCTGCGTCGTCTAAAGCGGCGGTGGCGGCGCTAACGATGACCGCGATGAGGTTTTCTCCCAACGGTTTGCTCGGGCAAAAGGAAGACACCGGCGCTTTCTGCAATATCCCGTGATAATCTTACCATTATGATCCCCCGCGATAATCTCCTGTGTTGATCTCCCGTTGTAATCTCGCGTTGTGATCTCGCATTGTGATCTCCCGTTGTGATCTCCCGTTGTGATCTTCACCAACGTGGCGGAAACTCCATGAGCTGGCACGTCATGGTCACCATTCAATTCAAGATTTTTTTCAAATCTCCATATCGCGTCTCGTTCCTCTCACGTCTCGTTCCTGTCGCCTCCTGTTCCTGTCACGCCTCCTGTTGCTGTCACGCCTCCTGTTCCTGTCGCCTCCTGTTCCTGTCGCCTCCCGTTCCCGTCGCCTCCCGTTCCCGTCGCCTCCCGTTCCCGTCGCCTCCTGTTCCTGCCGCCTCCTGTTCCTGCCACGCCTCCTGTTCCTGTCGCCTCCCGTTCCCGTCGCCTCCCGTTCCCGTCACCTCCCGTTCCCGTCGCCTCCTGTTCCCGTCGCCTCCTGTTCCCGTCGCCTCCTGTTCCTGTCACGCCTCCTGTTCCTGTCGCCTCCTGTTCCCGTCGCCTCCTGTTCCCGTCGCCTCCTGTTCCCGTCGCCTCCTGTTCCCGTCGCCTCCTGTTCCCGTCGCCTCCTGTTCCTGTCACCTCCTGTTCCTGTCGCCTGCTGTTCCCGTCGCCTCCTGTTCCCGTCGCCTCCTGTTCCCGTCGCCTCCTGTTCCTGTCGCCTCCTGTTCCTGTCGCCTTCTGTTCCTGTCACGCCTCCCGTTCCTGTCGCCTCCCGTTCCTGTCGCCTCCCGTTCCTGTCACGCCTCCCGTTCCTGTCGCCTCCTGTTCCTGTCGCCTCCTGTTCCTGTCACGCCTCCCGTTCCTGTCGCCTCCTGTTCCTGTCGCCTCCTGTTCCTGTCACCTCCTGTTCCTGTCGCCTCCTGTTCCTGTCACGCCTCCTGTTCCCGTCGCCTCCTGTTCCCGTCGCCTGCTGTTCCCGTCGCCTCCTGTTCCCGTCGCCTCCTGTTCCTGTCGCCTGCTGTTCCTGTCGCCTCCCGTTCCTGTCGCCTCCTGTTCCTGTCGCCTCCTGTTTTCAAATCGCGTCTCGTTCCTGTCCTGTCGCGTCTCGTTCCTATCGCGTCTCGCTCGTACAGCCTCGTTCGCTCCATGAGCACTCCGTACAACGTTTGCGTACGATCTGTTCGAATCGCTAGATAATAAATTCTCAAGAGGAGCACCGTTCGCCGTGCGTGTCACGGGCCTGGACCTCGGGTTACAGTCAACGGCTCGACGCGTCTCCGCACGCGTCGGTTCACCCGCTCGCGAACCCATGAATCAAGTCCGTGAGCTCTCGAGCAAACAGCGAAACGGCCGGGGCGATTCAATTCAAGTGATCGGTGCTCACTCGCTCATTCACTCACTCTCACACTCGCGTGCACACACACACTCTGTACATGACCGCATTGCAAACAGGGACGAGGTGTTGACTTAGCGGCTTAGGCAGGAGGGGGGGGCGGCAGTGGCTGTGACTCTGGAGTTATTGTGTTGTCAAGAAAAGCCCGATGACACTCGCCAACAACTCTCCCCCTCCTCCTCATCGTCATCATAGGAGCATGTAGTTATGTTGAACTTGTTTGGCACCGTACGTAGCAAACCATGCTGATCGGAGGTGCATGCTGGTCATCCAGTGATCTGGAGGCAAGAGTTGGCAGATAATATGCAGATTTCTTACATTTTCAGCCGCAGGACCCTCCTGCAAAGGAGGCTTGAGACGCGGTGAAGCTTTCCTGGATAAACGAACCAAATTGTCCTTATTTATTGACCTCTCCAGCTCAACGCCACGTGGATTTGACACTTTGGGGTTCGACGAGAGAGGTAAAGTCTCTTCTACAAAACTGTCACCGTTTTCTAGAAGGAGTGGTAATGCCTCGTAGGCGGGGACAATTTTACCCATCATCCCTCTGGAGTAGTTTACACAACGAGCAGCACCACTGTGGGCAGCCTACATCAGTTGTCCTGTCGTGTTCGATCTGGTCCCTGTCATAGCAATGTGTAATTTCACCCAACGGACCGGCTCGGGCCTGTCAATCGAACAAATCTGAGACGAGCGCCACCGCCCCAGATCCAATCCCCCCCCCCCACCTTGTTCGTTATTTGTTATATGTTTGAGTAGCCGCAGTGTTTTTTTATCTTAAGTTTTGTTCAAATTGGATCCGTCTCCCCGGCTGTTTGCGAGCGTGGTTCGCTCCGTTCGGTGGCGCGCGGCTCGTGACAACCCGCTGGGCACCGTTTGTTTTTCGTCTCCGCCGGTGGCGGTGTCTCTATAATCGGCGTCTCTCTCTCTCCGTCCCCCATGAAATTGGCGGCGGCGGCGGCGGCGGCAGCAGCAGCAGCGTCTCTCCACTCGCAGCAGCAGCAGCAGCGAGCGATTCGCCGGTGAGAGGGGGCGGAATGTAAATCACCGCCAAGTTGCGCCGCCGCTATGCGAGCAAGGAGGGCGCCGGCGGTGGCAAGCGGCGCCGCCACGGTGGCTAGGAGATGTTATCTCCCTCGCCTGGTATGCAGGAGGTCGTGAGTTCGATCCCGACCCTGACGCCCGCTATATATTTCGAGTTTGTCGTCTCTCTCTCTTTCTCTCCCCCCGTGGTCGCGTAGATTTTCCTCCGGACCATCGGGTGTTTTTCCTCCACATTTAGAGTCGACGTCAACCACGTGTTTAGAGTATTTGGCTGTTGCTATAAATTTCCACGTGATAAGCCACTTCTCGTTGGGCCATCATTTGTGGCCAGCTTGCTTCTGAAAAATAAACGATATAGCTCAGTGAACCTCATCTGGTAAAAAAAAAAATGTTTTATAGTTTAGTTGAGGACGGCTGTCAACATGGCTGAAGGTCTAGCTAGACCGCTGTGAAACTATCCAGGCTGGCTTGGCTGTCTGGCTGTGTGCGAGCGAGCGAGCGTGCGTGCTAGCGTGCGCGAGGTTAGCTGGCTATCTGTTAAACAGCCGTCTGTCTATTCTGCCTGCGACGATGCTTGGCTGATGAAACAGCGACTTGGCTACGAGAATAGCTGTCGACATCCGAGAATACTTCTTGTCTGGCTTGCTGCCTTATGAGCATAGCTGGGATGGTTTATCAGGATAGATGTCTGCGAATAGTGTGGGATATTGGGATAGCTCCCTGCCTGCGGGAATACCCAAGTTGGCTGTTGAGACAGCTATGCACATAGTCATTGATTGTAAAGATAACTTTATGTGAAGGTAGCCATACGTGTAGTTGTGTCTGTAAAGCTAATATCGGTGTGGATAGCAGGCTGTCTGTGTGGGGAGCTGGCTGAATGTTGGGATGGGTAGCTGTCCGAATATCTGACCCTGTGGGTAGCTATCCGTTTGTGGGGAAAGATGGCTGAGTGGGTAACTTGCTGGCTTTTGGGATAGGTAGCTGTCTGTCTGCGGGGATAGCTGGCTGTCTGTGTGGCTGGAGAGAGAGAGAGAGCTTGGCTGGGATCTGCCTGTTTGTCTGGAATTGTGAGGAGGAAGGTGGAGGGAGGGAGTCAGCCCCCAAGTGTCAGGTTACACATTGTGCATTCCAGCCTCATCCAACTCCCCAGCCCTCCACACATCCACACACACACATCCACACAGACACATTCATACACACACAAACGCACAGACATGCATACACGCGTACACACACACTTACACTCAAGCACACGTTTGCACAGGCAGAGTCCACAGAGTTATACAAACAAAGACAAAGGTTCCCCTTATAGCCTGTACCAGATTCTTGTGGCAAGTGCTGTTAACGAGCACCTATTAAGGCCGGCAAGGCACACGAGGTGGGTGGGTGTGTATTAAGTTTGTGTTTTCTTGCATTTGCGTTACAAGTGCATTTGTTCGCGAGCACGTGCCTGTGAACGCTGTGTGAGTGTTGATTGGCCGGGAAGCTCAGCGGTAGAGCAAGCGGCTCACAGTCGGAAAGGAGTTCAAGTCCCGGTCGGGGTGTTGCGTCGGCCCATCATCCTTCCAGGGTCAATAAAACGAGTACCACTTTTGTGGGCAAGTCAACGGCGGTTCGTCTACGGATTGACTCACCCCCCCCCCCCCGCCCGCCCCCCCCCCCCCTCCATAGGAATGTGGAATTTCCATCACTGGCTCAGACTTTAAGCAGGAGACGAGCACCAATGCATAAATGCTCATTTCAGCAGGAAATCACTTTGGCTTTGTGTGTGCGTGCTTGTGTAAACGTGTGCATGTGCTTGTGTACACGTGTGCATGTGCTTGTGTACACGTGCTTGTGTACACGTGTGCATGTGCTTGTGTACACGTGCTTGTGTACACGTGCTTGTGTACACGTGTGTCCGTGCTTGTGTACACGTGTGCACGTGCTTGCGTACACGTGTGTCCGTGCTTGTGTACACGTGTGCACGTGCTTGCGTACACGTGTGCACGTGCTTGTGTACACGTGTGCAAGTGTGAGCATTTATGTGCGCGCGCGTGGCAATAATTGTACATAAGCGTGCTTATGGACGCGGGTGTGTGTGTGTATGTACGTGTATTTGTACTTTTTATGGGGGAGCGGTGACGCAGTGGTTAGCACTACAAACCCAGCGACCCCTAGGTTGACTCAGCCTAAAATCAGTTCCTGGTACGGTGAGCAACGATCAGCACCGGAGAGACAAAGGGGGCCAAGGGCATGGTCCTGGCCACACCACCCAGCCATGTGCCGTGGGGGCCTTAATAGGCGCTTGCTAACAGCAATTGTGCCAACAATCTGTTAAGGCTATGGTATGTCTTTGTGTTTTGTTTAAATGTGCTTGTATTGCAAGTGTGACTGCCCGTGTGTTCGTGTTCGGTCAGAAACGTAGGGGACGAGCGGCGGACCCCAATCTCGAACGAGCCGAGCGGAAGTCATCCTGGGGGTGGGCTGGCGAGGGGAAAATGTCGAACCGAAGGAGAGAATCCACACGGGCAGAAGAGTGATGATGATCGTGGAAGCCACTAGGGCAGAGACTGCGAGTCGGACCTAGATAATGGACTAAGCAAACTATTCAACTCAACTGTTGTTTATTTTACCAGGTAAGGCCCACTGAGCTATTAGCTATTTTTTCAGCAGCCACCGGGCCACAAATGACAGCTCAACGAAGTGGCTCATCATCATCACGTGGACATTTATAGCAGCCAAACATCCTCTAGAAACGCGTGATGTCGATTCTAAATGTGCAGGGAAAGATCGGAGGACCTGGAGAAAAATGTACGTGACCACTGGGAGAGAGAGAAACTGCAAACTCCAAATATACAGCAGGCTTCAGGGCCAGGATCGAACCCACGACTTCCTGTATACCAGGCAAGGTAGTTAACATCTCGCCACCGTGACGAGATGAGAAGAGGTGACCCAGTGGACGTGGAGATGATTGGCCAGGCCAAGAACGAGCAGAGACAGGGGAAGTGAGACCGCCCAAGAGCGGAATAACGCCAGGAAGAAGAATTGTGTACGTGTGTGTTTATGTCCGCGCGTGTGCGTGTATGTACACAAGTTCATTTGTGCGAGAACGTGTGTGCGCGGACCCCAATCTCGAACGAGCCGAGCGGAAGTCATCCTGGGGGTGGGCTGGCGAGGGGAAAATGTCGAACCGAAGGAGAGAATCCACACGGGCAGAAGAGTGATGATGATCGTGGAAGCCACTAGGGCAGAGACTGCGAGTTGGACCTAGATAATGGACTAAGCAAACTATTCAACTCAACTGTTGTTTATTTTACCAGGTAAGGCCCACTGAGCTATTAGCTATTTTTTCAGCAGCCACCGGGCCACAAATGACAGCTCAACGAAGTGGCTCATCATCATCACGTGGACATTTATAGCAGCCAAACATCCTCTAGAAACGCGTGATGTCGATTCTAAATGTGCAGGGAAAGATCGGAGGACCTGGAGAAAAATGTACGTGACCGCTGGGAGAGAGAGACACTGCAAACTCCAAATATACAGCACGCTTTAGGGCCAGGATCGAACCCACGACTTCCTGTATACCAGGCAAGGTAGTTAACATCTCGCCACTGTGACGAGATGAGAAGAGGTGACCCAGTGGACGTGGAGATGATTGGCCAGGCCAAGAACGAGCAGAGACAGGGGAAGTGAGACCGCCCAAGAGCGGAATAACGCCAGGAAGAAGAATTGTGTACGTGTGTGTTTATGTCCGCGCGTGTGCGTGTATGTACACAAGTTCATTTGTGCGAGAACGTGTGTGCGCGCATGTCTAGGAGGCTGATCGTGAAGGACGCTACTTGGGCAGATTTGGAGGCAGTCGCCCCTCCTGCAACAATGAAGGGCAGAGGAGCGACGCTCACATCAACGAGCAGAGCGCTGGGTGGCAAACGCAGCAAACTGGCACAGCAGGGAGCCACAGTTGGCGCATCTGCCAGTCATCTCAGTCAGTCGACCCATAAAACACAGCGTGACCTCCTGCCAGTAGCGAGCCTTTGACACTTCGCGTGACAGCCTCAAAGTGCACCCGGCCTGGCACAAGCGCTGCGGTGACATCACCGTCACTAACTGGCGAATGGCAGCCGTTGTTGTTGTTGGTGGCGGTGGTGACGTGGTGACAGTGTGCGACCGTGGGACTGCGTGAATGCACATGTGCGCGTGTGTGACTGTGTTACCTGTTTGATACACTGCAGCCGGTCGTTGGTCTGCTGAATGTGCCTGTCCATGGAGGTCATGGTGTTCCGGTGTACCGCTCACACCACCACCACCACCACCATCGCAACCGCCTGCAACAGCAGCAAACAGCAGCGCATGCGTCAGCACAACCGTCAGGACAACCACCACGCAACAAGACGATCACACGCGCACGCACGCGTGCACACATGCGCAGCCAGGGTAGGTGTTCACATTACAGCCATCAGTGGCACTCAGAACTCCCTCTCTCCCACTCACCCCCTCCCTCTCCCTAAAACCCATCCAAAGGAGAATGCCCTGCAGAAGGAAAAAAAAACATTATGAATCCCAGATTCCCTGAGCGAGGAGGAGGAGGGGGAGGAGGGGTCTGAGTGGGGGGGGGGTGCGATGTGCAGAGAGAGAGAGAGGGAATGGAGGCTGGGGTGAGGGGGGGGGGCAGTTATTCTGCAGGGGTGATGATGGGGGAGGGAGGGGGAGGAGGAGGGATGCTCTCTCTCTCATGCTCGGAGATCTGCGCGAAGGAAGATTTTGGCTCCAGGCGATGGTTGGAGCGCAACGGGCTGAGACGTGTGCGTGCGAGTTTTGTGAGCGATGGCTGCTCGCTCGCTCGCGCGCGCGCACACGAGTACACACACGCAGACACTACTTAGACTCCCCAACGTACAGGCGCACACACCTGGACTCACATGCTCCCTCAAACCCCTGACTCACACCTTTTGCTCATACGCACCGACTCACACACAGATACGTACACACTTAAACGTACATACTTACACACAATCACATGCAGACAAACACACACGCATACGTACACACCTATACGTACATACTTACTCAAAATCATACGCAGACTCACACAATCACACACGCGCGTACACTCATACAAAGAGCACACATATAAAGCCTTCAACAGACTTTTGGGGCAAGTGCTGTTAGCGTGCACCTATTAAATCATGGCCACACACGTACATTTACACGGACACAAACTTCAATCAATGTGCACACACATTTACACGGACACAAATGTCGACACACTACTACTTACACTCGCATACTTCACTCGCAGACTCACATACATTGTTGTTATTGCGCTTGCTTACCCAGGAAAGCCTCGCTGACTCTCATGACATTTTTTCCAAGAGGATCCTGCCATGTTTCCGCAGCGTAGGAGGGGGACGATAGCTGCTGTGTATAATCCCAATTGAGTCATTTGCGCGGTGTCGTTTTGTGAAAGTCCGTCAAAAACCTGGGACCGTGACATCGGCAGGCGCACGGCGACCCGACTCTTTCGAATTGCGCCACAGGCACGTTTAGCGTCCGCTGCTAAGCGGATGGCACGTGGGTGGTATTTATGTTTTTTTACGGTTATTAAGCGGGGGGGGGGGGGCCTGCTGGTGTTCGAACCACGAAGCTCTGAGACGAGCCACCAACGGGCGCACGCTGCCGCTGTGCCGCGTCACCGCCCCCTGTCGCCCAGTACTCGAGCTAAAAACAAAGACCCCCCCCCCCCCGCCCCACCGTGTGGCCTCAGCAGACTGTTGGGGCAAGTGTTGTTATAAAGTCCAACATGGCACACGAGGGGGTGGGTGGCCAGCACCACGGCCGGCCGCTTTTGTCTCCCCCAGTGGCGATGTTTACACATCGCACCAGGTACTCGTTTGAGGTTGGAGTCGACATAGGGGAGGGCCCAGGACTGGTTCAATTAAATCGTCACTGGAGTTGGCCGTGAGCGGGAATCGAACCCGGGTCACCAGGTTTGTAGCGCGGCGCCCTAACCGCTCCACTACCGCTCTCCACAGTACTCACACACTCATACACACACTCACACACATACTCACACACAATTACACACCGCTTTCCATGCTGCTCCCTGCTCCTTACACGTCTATAGGTTACGGAATGCCAAGGCCACGAGTCTGCCGGGAATCACGACCGATTGATAGGCGACACAGGGCAGCTGCCATTTCTTTAACGAGTAAAATTTACAATTTCACTGTGCCACACGCATTTACGCAAGCACAAAATCACGTAGCCTCTTTCACACACCCACACACGCATATTCTCATGCACTCATGCACACACACTTAAAAACACATTTACACACTGTGCTGCACACATCCATACACACTCACGTACACTCTTTCACACGTACAAAAGGCAAAAAAACCCCGTGTAGTCCTCTTCAGGCTGTTGGGGCAAGTTTTGTTGGCAAGCACCAAAGAAGGCCGCCGTTACGGCACACGAGGGGGTGGGTGGCCTGCACCACGCACGGCCGTGGTTAATAAGTGTATTTACACACACTCATACACACACACACTCACACACTCATACACACACAACAACAACCGCCATTCGCCACTAAGTGACGGTGACGTCACCACGACGCTTGTGCCAGGCCATGTGCACCTTGAGGCCACGTGAGGTGTCGAACGCCCACTGGCAGGAGGTCACGGGGCAGACCCAGGTGCCACGGGTCGACTGACTGAGATGACTGGCTGATGCACCACCTGTACCCCCTACTGTGCCAACCTGCTGTGCTTTAGCCACCCGGCGCTCTGCTCGTTGTTGTGAGCGTCGCTCCTCCGCCCTCCGTTGTTGTTGGAGGGCGACTGCCTCCAACTGCCCAGTAGCGTCCTTCACGAGCCTCCTCCACAGAGGCCGATCTTGACACCGCTGGTACCAGTCATCGGCAAGTCCACTCAGCTCCACGTCCTCCTGTACCACATCACTCCATTTCTTCTCCAGCCCATGCCGCGCCCGTTTAGCCCCCTCGAACCGGCCAAACAAAAGCTGTTTCAGCATGCGGTGGCTGGGCATGCGGGCTACATGACCCAGCCAACGCAGCCTTGCCTGCCGGAGGAGCTCACCTTGCCCAGATCTTTCAAGGATTTGTGAGCTCCTCACACAATCCAGCCTGGTTAAACCCAGGATGGATCGTAGGCATACACACACTCATACACAGACAAAGGTCTCCCATATAGCCTTATTAGACTCTTGAGGAAAGTGCTGTTAGTGAGCACCGATGAAGGCTGGCACGGCACACGAGGAGATGGGTGGCCAGCACCTCGCCCGGCCGCCTTTGTATCCCCAGTGGCGATGTTTACACACTGCACCAGGTACTCATTTAGGCTGAATCGACCTAGGGGAGGCCCAGGACCGGTTCAGATATTCACAACTATTTATTGCTTGTGAGCAGGAATCAAAATCGGGTCGCCAGGTTCGTAGTGCATCCTGCTAAGGCCCAAATACTCACTTTGTACAAAGACAAATCGACAAACCTTCCTGTACACACACAACCATATGCACGTCGGTATACGTACACTCATGTATACATACAATCACGCTTATCAGCTACACACACACAGACGCACTCTCTACGGTTTATATATACCAGTTTATATATACGGGGACAGAGTGGTGCACAGTGGTAACACTTAAAGGCTCTGGGTCCGATTCCTGACCCGGGCGAATCTGTTGTATGTTCTCTCCCCCTGTCTTGAAATTGGCTTCCCCCAAGTTCTCTGGGTCCCTCCCATACAATGCAACCCGGTATCAGCCCAAAAACATCCAAAACACGAACAAAAATGACCCTGCAAATTACTCAGTTGAGTCCGTACATGGCAACATTGTCTGCCCGCTGCGACACACAATTGGCAGGACCCTCCTGAAAAGGCGAGCCGAGACTCAGGCGAGGCCTTCCGGGATAAACGAGCGGAATCGTAACATTAACAATCAATTCAAATCCGCGTATTCCTTTTTTTGTTACTTTTGCTTGCACGAGTTATTTTAATCGTGAAACCAAGGCCTCGCGCGACAATCCCCGCGGGTTATCTTGGGGCTGCTCGACAGAGGGGAAGAGGTCTTTTTACGTCTCCTCCTTCAAGTCTCGGTGTTTATTTTGGGCCTCGTTCCGTTATTTTATTGTTTTCACTCGACGATGATCGGTGTGGGGGGCGGGGGGGGGAAGGAATTCCTCTCGCGTGCGGCGTCTGTGGCAAGCTCTGGGAAGTCATTGCGAGCTTCGCGACTTTCAACTCATCTCGATGGAAAATTCACTTCTTTATAGAACGGTTGTTGGGTGTTTTATTTGCTGTCGCCCGCAACCCCCACGGGCTGGCCACGTACGGTGCAAAATAAGTTGTCTCTGCGTACGTAGAGACAAAGGTCCCTTGATAGACTGTCGGGGAAAGTGCCGTTAGCGAGCACCTACGCAGGCCGGTTACGGCGTACGTGTTTGTCCCTCAGGTGATGCCGTTTACACACCTGCGCCAAGTAACAATTTAAGGCTGAGTCAACCTAGGGAAGGCGCATGACCGGTGACGATATTCGTCACTGGGTGTTTGGCCGTGAGCGGGAATTGAACTCGAGTCGCCGGGGTTTGTAGCGCAGCGCACTAACCGCTACACTACCGCTCCCCATGCGTGCACACACATACATACACACACACATGCATGCACAGACACACATGCATGCACACACACACATGCATGCACACGTGTGCACGCACACACACACGCGCGCGCACACACACGGGCGCCTTGTATGCACAGCACGCACGCCGCTCGCTCTCTTTGTCAATACCTGTTAGTGTTCAGCAGTCACCAAATCAGGCTGCTTAACTCCCCGCCGCCCCTCCCCCCTCACCTCCCACCCCACACTCCCTGATCCCCCCCCCCGCACCACGAGAAGAGAAATGAGACGCAGCAACCACCGCTACCTCCTCCCCTCGCCAACCCCTCAAATCACACCAACCTCAACCCTCTCACTCACTCACACCAACCCCAACCCTCTCACTCACTCACACCAACCCCAACCCTTTCACTCACTCACACCAACCCCTCAACCACACCAACCCCAACCCTCTCACTCACACACTCACTCACTCACACCAACCCCAACCCTCTCACTCACTCACTCACACCAACCCCAACCCTATCACTCACACTCACTCACACCAACCCTCTCACTCACACCAACCCCAACCCTCTCACTCACACCAACCCCAACCCTCTCACTCACACCAACCCCAACCCTCTCACTCACTCACTCACACCAACCCCAACCCTATCACTCACACTCACTCACACCAACCCTCTCACTCACACCAACCCCAACCCTCTCACTCACACCAACCTCAACCCTCTCACTCACTCACACCAACCCCAACCCTCTCACTCACACACTCACTCACACACACCAACCTCAACACTCACTCACACCAACCCCAACCCTCTCACTCACACCAACCCCAACCCTTTCACTCACTCACACCAACCCCTCAACCACACCAACCCTCTCACTCACACACTCACTCACACCAACCCCAACCCTCTCACTCACACACTCACTCACACCAACCCCAACCCTATCACTCACACTCACTCACACCAACCCTCTCACTCACTCACTCACACCAACCCCAACCCTCTCACACACACTCACTCATACCAACCCTCCCACTCACACACTCACTCACACCAACCCTCCCACTCACACACTCACTCACACCAACCCTCCCACTCACACACTCACATCAACCCCAGCCGCTACACAACCTGAACGCCCCCCACCACCATCCCTACTCCTTCCCCCTCCCTCCCACCACCCGCAACTGCACAGCGGCTGGGGTCGATAGAGCGAGCAGAGGCTCGAATACGCGGAGTCCCTATGTGCAGAGTGTCTGTGTGGGGCGTGTGGGGTGTGTGTGTGTGTGTGTGGGGCGTATGTGTGTGGGGCGTGTGTGTGTGTGTGGGACGTGTGTGTGTGTGGGGCGTGTGTGTGTGTGTGGGGTGTGTGTGTGGGACGTGTGTGTGTGTGGGACGTGTGTGTGTGGGGTGTGTGTGTGTGGGGCGTGTGTGTGTGTGTGGGACGTGTGTGTGTGTGGGGCGTGTGTGTGTGTGGGGTGTGTGTGGGGTGTGTGTGTGTGTGTGGGGTGTGTGTGTGGGGTGTGTGTGTGTGTGTGGGGCGTGTGTGTGTGTGGGGCGTGTGTGTGTGTGGGGTGTGTGTGTGGGGTGTGTGTGTGTGGGGTGTGTGTGTGGGGCATGTGGGGTGTGTGTGTGGGGTGTGTGTGTGGGGTGTGTGTGTGTGGGGTGTGTGTGTGGGGTGTGTGTGTGGGGGGTGTGTGTGTGGGGCATGTGGGGTGTGTGTGTGTGGGGTGTGTGTGTGTGGGGTGTGTGTGTGGGGCATGTGGGGTGTGTGTGTGGGGTGTGTGTGTGGGGTGTGTGTGTGTGTGGGGTGTGTGTGTGTGGGGCATGTGGGGTGTGTGTGTGGGGTGTGTGTGTGGGGTGTGTGTGAGTGGTGTGTGTGTGTGGGGTGTGTGTGGGGCATGTGGGGTGTGTGTGTGGGGTGTGTGTGTGGGGTGTGTGTGTGTGTGGGGTGTGTGTGTGTGGGGGGTGTGTGTGTGTGTGGGGGGTGTGTGTGTGTGGGGAGCAGTAGTGTAGCGGTTAGCGCGCTGCGCTACGAACCCGACGAACCGAGTTCGATTCCCGCTCACGGCCAACACAAGTGACGATTATCTGAACCGGTCCCGGGCCTCCCATAGGTCGACTCAGCCTCAAATGAGTACCTGGTGCGGTGTGTAAACATCGCCACTAGGGAGACAAAGGCAGTCGGGCGTGGTGCTGGCCACCCACCCCCTCGTGTACCGTTCCGGCCTTCATAGGTGCTCGCTAACAGCACTTGCCCTTACAGTCTGTTAAGGCTATACGGGGGATCTTATCTTTGTGTGTGTGTGGGGCGTGTGGGAGTGTGTGTGTCTGTGGTGTGTGTGGGGGGGGTGTGTGTGTGTGTGTGGGTGTGTGTGTGTGTAGATGTGTGTTGTGGGGAGCGTTAGTGTAGTGGTTAGCACGCTGTACTGCGAACCTGGCCACCCGGGGTCGTATGTGCGGGTGTGTATCTGTCCGTGTGTGTCTGTGTGTCGATGTGTGCGTCTGTCTGTGTGACCACTCTGCCTGTGGTGTGAGTTAGCTGTCATAATAAGTGTGGGGACTGAGAAGCCACAGGGGAAGGAGAGGGAGGGAGGGAGAGGGGAGGGAGAGCGGGAGAGAAGCAGATGTAATCACAGGCAAGAGAAGATGGTGCACTCTCTGTTCCACACACACACACAAAGACAAAGAACCCCTGTATAGCCTTTAACATACTGCCGGGGCAAGTGCTGTCAGCGCGGCACACGAGTGGGTGGGTGGCCAGCACCACGCCCGGCCGCCTTTGTCTCCGCAGTGGCGATGTTCACACATCGCATCGGGTACTCATTTGAGGCTGAGTCGACCTAGGGGAGGAGAAGGCCCAGGACCGGTCCAGATATTTGTTACCGATGTCGTCGTGTTCACGGCGCAGCGCGCTAACCACCGCACCACCGCTCCACACGCAGACACACACGGCTAATAACATCGCGTGCGAACAGACGGGTAAGCAGGCTGGGTGGGCAATGCAGAGTGTGTGTGAGTGTGTGCATGTATGTGTGTATGTGTTTACTCTACGATCAATTAATTAAACGGCCCAGAACTCCGACGCAGAGAATACTTATGAGACCATGGGTGTTGCAACATTACGCGCGCCACTCTTACACTCTTCTTCCACTCGTGCACACGCACACTCACCAAAAACACTCACCAAAAACAGACTCTCACACACCAACACGCTCACCAACACAGACTCCCACACACCAATGCATACACACGCTCGACTCATAGGACTCACGCTCCCCCCGTGTAGCCTCGCTGTTAGCGAGCACCTATGGCTGGCCAGCACCACGCTCAGCCCCACCACACACAAAGATCCCCCGTGTAGCCTGAACAGACTGTAAGGGGCAAGTGCTGTTAGCGAGCAGCACCTATAAAGGTCGGCACGGCACACGAGGGGGTGGGTGGCCAACACCACGCCCGGCCGCCTTTGTCTCCCTAGTAGCGATTTTTACGCATCACACCAGGTACTCATTTGAGGCCGAGTCGACCTAGAGGAGGCCCAGGACCGGTTCAGATAATCGTCACTGGTGTTGGCCGTGAGCGGGAATCGAACCCGGGTCGCCAGGTTTGCAGCTAACCGCTACTACACCACCGCTCCTCACTACAAGCACGCACGCATCGCCACATGTCAAGCCGTGCTGAGGTTAACGGAGCCAATGCCGTTCGCGAGCGCGACACCGGGCCGGGGGGAAAGGTGCGAGCGCCCGACCGTCTTTGCCTCCCTCCGCGGTGGCCGGCGGCGTTCATAAATATTCTGTTGTTCGAATCGTGGTGGGTGGGTGGGCATGGGGGTGGGGGTGGGGGCCGGCGGGGTTGAGCGGCGGCGCCGATGCAGATAACGCGAGAGGCGCCGTCGCCGCCGCCGCCGCTGCTGCTGCACGAAGCCAAGACTGTGGTAGGGCTGCCTCGTGCCGATTGTCCATGATGCGGGGCGAGAGGGGCGGCAGTGGGCGGAATGGAGGGAGTGGGTGTGGGTGTGTGTGGGTGGGTGTGTGTGGGTGTGTGGGGGTGTGTATGTGTGGAGGTGTGTGTGTGTGTGTGTGTGGGGGGGGGTGTGTGTGGGGGGGTGTGGGGGGGTGTGTGTGGGTGTGGGTGTGTGTGTGGGGGGGTGTGTGTGGGTGTGTCTCACAAATCCTCGAAAGATCTGGGCAAGGTCCCATCGGTGAGCTCCTCCGGCGGGCAAGGCTGCGATGGCTGGGCCATGTAGCCCGCATGCCCAGCCACCGCATGCCCAAACAGCTTTTGTTCGGCCGGATCGAGGGGGCTAAGCAGGCGCGGCACGGGCTAGAGAAGAGATGGAGTGATGTGGTACAGGAGGACGTGGAGCTGAGTGGACTTGCCGATGACTGGTACCAGCGGTGTCAAGATCGGCCTCTGTGGAGGAGGCTCGTGAAGGATGCTACTGGGCAGTTGGAGGCAGTCGCCCTCCAACAACAACGGAGGGCGGAGGAGCGACGCTCACAACAACGAGCGGAGCGCCGGGTGGCTAAAGTACAGCAGGTTGGCACAGTAGGGGGCACAGGCGGTGCATCAGCCAGTCATCTCAGTCATCTTAGTCAGTCGACCCGCGGCACCTGGATCTGCCCCGTGACCTTCTGCCAGCGGGCGTTCGACACTTCATGTGGCCCCAAGGTTCACATGGCCTGGCACAAGCGTCGTGGTGACGTCACCGCCACTTAGTGGCGAATGGCTGTTGTTGTTGTGTGGGGGTGTGCGTGGGGGTGTGCATGTGGGGGTGTGCATGTGGGTGTGTGTGGGGGTATGTGGGGGTGTGTGTGGGTGTGTCCTGGGCCTTCCCTAGGTCGACTCAGCCTCAAATGAGTACCTGGTGCGATGTGTAAAAACATCGCCACTTGGGAGACAAAGGCGGCCGGGCGTGGTGCCGACCACTCAACCCCCTTGTTTACCGTTCCGGCCTTGATACGTGCTTGCTAACAGCACTTGCCCCAACAATCTGTGAAGGCTATACGGGGGGTATTTGTGGTGTGCATGTATAAGTGTGTGAGTGTGGTGTACGTGTATGAGTGTGTGAGTGTGGTGTGCGTGTATGAGTGAGCGTGTATGAGTGTGAGTGCACGTGTATGAGTGTGAGTGAGCGTGTATGAGTATGAGTGCGCATGTACGAGTGTGAGTGTGCGTGTATGAGTGTGTGAGTGTGAGTGCGCGAGTGTGAGTGCGCGTGTATGAGTGTGCGTGTATGAGTGTGTAAGTGCAGTGTGCGTGTATGAGTGTGTGAGTGCGGTGTGCGTGTATGAGTGTAGTTGAGTGTGGTGTGCATGGTACCTGTAAGACTGCTGGTTTAGTATGGGTGCCGTGTATACCACATGGCACCCTCACCCCACCGCGCCAGGCACACCACTCAGGAAAGCTCCTAGCAGACACAACGCAACCACACCACTCTCATTAACACAGAGACAAAAATCCCCGTGCGACCTCTCACAGACTTCGAGGGCAAGTGCAGTTGCCGAACACCGATGAAAGCTGACGGAACCACACCCGGCCGCCTTTGTCACTCCAATTATGACATTTACACAATGCATCAGGTACTCATTTGAGGCCGAGCCGACCTCGGGGAGGCACGCACTCAGCAACGCATACCCACCCCACCATGCACCCCACACCACACCAATCGACACACACCCACCTCACCATGCACCCCACACCACACCCATCACACACCCACCACACCATGCGCCCACACCACACTCATCAACACACACCGCACCATGCGCCCACACCACACTCATCGACACACACCCACCCTACCACGCACCCCACACCACACCACACTCATCACACACCCACCGCACCATGCGCCCACACCACACTCATCAACACCCACCCTACCATGCACCCCACACCACACCACACCCATCACACACCCACCGCACCATGCGCCCACACCACACTCATCAACACACACCGCACCATGCACCTACACCACACTCATCAACACACATCCACCCCACCATGCAACCACACCACACTCATCACACATCCACCCCACCATGCAACCACACCACACTCATCAACACCCACCGCACCATGCACCTACACCATACTCATCAACACACACCCACCCTACCATGCACCCACATCACACTCATCGACACACACCGCACCATGCACCTACACCACACTCATCAACACCCACCGCACCATGCAACCACACCACACTCATCAACACCCACCGCACCATGCACCTACACCATACTCATCAACACACACCCACGCCACCATGCACACCACACTACACTCATCAACACCCACCGCACCATGCACCCACACCACACTCATCAACACCCACCGCACCATGCACCTACACCATACTCATCAACACACACCCACGCCACCATGCAGACCACACCACCCTCGTCGACACGCCACGTGCACCGCACCACACTCTAGCACCACTGTGGACATGGCGTCACAATTCTCGTCAAGCCGGCGAACTAAAAACTAAACTATTTAGACGGCTTTATTTTATTTTACCAGGCAAGGCCCACTGAGCTATGTAGCTATTTTTTCAGAAGCGACCTGGCCACAAATGACAACGAAGTGGCTTATCTTGTGGACATTTATTGCAGCCACACATACTCTGAAGGCGCGATGTTCATTTTAAACGTGGAGGGGAAAAACCGGAGAAAAATCCACGCGACCACGGGGAGAGAGACACCGCAAAGTCCAAACATACAGCAGGTGTCACAGGGTCTGGATCGAACCCACGACCTCCTGCATACCCAGCGAGGTAGTTAACATCTCCCCACCACGGCGTCCCGAGCACTGCAATTACGGTCGACAATGAAGCCTTTGTCGGTCTCTTACCAATATTGTCACAATGGCAATAAAGGAATAATTATATTAACGAGTCCGTTAATTAAACCCCCATTGTCTGCGTCTGGAAACTACGCATTTGCATATTCCGACTCTACACACACAGACAGGTTCCTTCCTCCGCGCCAATTCCAACTGATCAAATTGCGGCCGCAGGTGAAACCTCCAATTAGCGCGGTTGGCTACGTACGGTGCGAAAGAAGTTCAACATCGTACGCACGTACAGAACCATCCCCCGCCGTCAACGCGCGGGACAAAGCGCGACCGACCGCGGATTGACACCCCGCTCTCGATCCACTGCTGGATGATGACCCCCCCACCACCTTGCCCCGTGCCGGCGGTGAGGTTGGGACCATGCGTCACCGAGGGGGGGGGGGCAACGTGGACTTTGTCGTTCACTAGATACGGCGCGTCGACTCGGCGCTTTGACAGCCGCCGTGTGACGTGGCGGATCACAGGCGCGGACGATTTGCCCAGAAAGCGGAACGGAGAAGCTTGCCGAGCGCGCAGCGAAGTAAAGCGGGAAGGAGGAGTGAGGAGGAGTGAGGAGGAGTGAGATGCACGCTGGGAATTACACCGAGGGACAGGACGAGGGCGGCGCCACGGACGAGCGGACTGGCACAAGGAAGAGGCGTCACAGCGACTCGAAGAATAGTCAAACGAATGAGCTGGCGGCGATGCGTTGGCAGCGGTGCGCAAGCGCAAACAACAACAACACAACTCAACAACAACCGTCACCAGCAACAAAATTGAGAACTAAAAAAAAATGTTAAATAGGCAACGTTTCAGGTAATGACCCTTCTTCACAGTGCACACCTCTTTCCGGCCTCTCTACGTGCCGTGAATTTGGGCCGTTGCCGGATATGTCACCTTGTACACGTATACAATATATGTATAACTGGCGACGAAGGGGCTTATTACGTGTTCATTTATAGCAGCCAAATACTCCAAGCGCATGCTCATTCTAAATGTGGCGGGAAAACCCAGAAGGGGCCCGGGAAAAATCCACGCGACCCACGGGGAGAACACGCAAAGTCAAAATATACAGCAGGCATCAGGGTCGGGATCGAGCCCACGACCGCCCGTGTACCAGGCGAGGTAGTCAACATCTCGCAGCACGCCAGAGGTAGTCGTGAAGGCGTGTATCATCACGCATCATCTCTCTCCACTTAATCTCCGGCGCTCCCTCCCACCGCTTGCTCGGGCTCCCACGTGTCGCGATTGTAATGACACGAGACGCGCTCACACACACACACAGCTCACACACACACACAGCTCACACACACAACTCACACACACACACAGCTCACACACACAGTTCACACACACAGCTCACACACACACACAGCTCACACACACAGCTCACACACACACACAGCTCACACACACACACAGTTCACACACACACACAGCTCACACACACACACAGTTCACACACACACACAGCTCACACACAGCTCACACACACACAGCGGCGACGGTACGACTCCCCAGCTTTGCTGGGAGTAGAGAGTGTTGGGGGAGGGGCAAGTGGTTTATTTGTTTCAAGAGCGTCGATGATTTAAAGGCCGGCACGGCACACGAACGATGGAGCCAGAAGTGGCTTTGGTCAGCACCAAGCCTGGGCTGCCTTTGTCTCTGTCCTAGTGATGTTCACACACACACACAACCATAAATCAGCACCTGCTGCATTGAGTCGACTTCGAGGGATGCCCAGGAAGGGTTCAGATATTACTTGGTCACTGATCATTACGAAGGGTCGATGGATCTGCACCCCCCAACCCCTTCTCCCAAATCCCCCCTCCTCCCAACAGTGCCGGATTAAGCTCGTGCGGGGCCTGTTGTAGCATTTGTCATAAAGGAGCCCTAAAATAAATAAAAAACACTAATCAGTTTAACACGTAGGCTTTCGCGACCAATATTATTCATAATAAAGGTTTTTTTTTGGGTTAGATCGCGTTTATTTTATAAATGTGTCGTAACCCTCCACCACCCGACGCGATCTAACCCAAAAACCTTTATTATGAAAAAACAGTAATATTAAAACACACAAACTTTTTTTACTTGCATAGTAAAGTTATTGTTTTTTTTATTTGCTATACAGCCCAGATAATACGACAAATCGCTAACCTTAAACACCCAGTCGTTCATAAAAGTCGAAGGCGGTATAGTACTATAGTAATAGAGCGAGTGCTGAATCACTGAACCGGAATTGATAGCTTGAAAGCGTTTAGCGCGGGGCCCTTGAGAGTGTGGGGCCCGTAGCATTATGTAGCTACTTGTGCTACTGGGATAATCCGGCACCGACTCCCAACCTTCATTAACAAACCCCCCTCCCCCCAACGCCACTCGCTGAAGTGTCACGATTCAGTGTCGATGCAAACCCGATGCAAGTGGCTACTATCACTTCTTACATCGTAGTGGCTGCAGGAGTCACGTGAACCCATTGCACACAGCACATACACGCCGATCAATGTTCGATTCTGCACGCACGATTCCGCGCACGTATCGTGGCGAGCGGGGCCACTGACATCGGCCGACGAATCGGTATCAGCATTTTAACCGGCTGCACCCTTTGGGCTGAGTCAACCTAAGGGAGGCCCGCGCCAGCGTTGAAGATACTGAATGCTAAATTACGATGATCATAATGGCCAGAGATCACACTTATGCAAACACACACACACGTTGAAACGTGTTTACATGAACAAACACACGTATACATTCACACGCCCACACTCACATTTGTACAGACAAATATTTACACAAATGCATTTTGCAAATGCACTCATCTGCAGACACACTCACAGAGAACACAGATATTTACACACACACATACGCACGTTAACTTAAACAGGCAAAGTTCACGTACAAAAGACAAAGATCCCCCATGTAGCCTTTTAACAGACCGTTGGGGGCAAGTGCTGTTGGTGAGCACGAATGAAGGCCAACACGGCACACCGATGAGAGGGTGAGCGGGCAGCACCCTGCCCGGCTGCCTTTATCTCCCCCCAGTGCTGTTTCCACACCGAGTCAACCTAGAGGAGGCCCAGAACCGGTTCTGGGCCTCCTCTAGGTCGCCGAGTAGTCGCACACCGCGCTAAACCACTGCACTACCGCTCCCCGCGCACACACACACACAAGCAATCGCTCAAATATACAGACGCACATTCACACAGATACATAAAGACATGCAACACTGGCGCGCGTGCACGCACGCACGCAGGTACATACATACATACACACGGGCACGACGTGCACTTGCACACGCATGCATAGGCACACGCACAAATATAGAGACACACACACGCATGCAGGCTCACATACAGGCGACGCGCGCGCGCGCGCACACACGCCTAAACCAGATTATTCCTGCGCTCTGTAGGATTAAACGCAAGGCTGAGGGGGAAAGCGAGAGGGGAAAATGAGAATGAGAGAGCGGGGAGAGGTGAGAGAGAGAGAGAGCGAGGGGTGGGGGAGACAGAGAGCAGGAGAGAGAGCAGGAGAGAGAGCTGTATGGAGCTCTGCGGAGACACCACG